TTTTATTTTATTATATATGTATAGATATATATATATATGCGCTGCATAAGATATGACATAATACAATATATAATATTCAATAAAATACAAAGACTTAAATCTTATTGTATGGACTAGGTCAGGGTGTCCAAAGTGGGTCCTGGAGGCCCGGCATCCTGCACGTTTTAGTTCTCTCCCTGGTTGTAGTAACAGCCTTTTCAGCTTGTCAATGAGCCATCATTTAACCCAGGTGTGTTAAACCAGGGACAGACTAAAACATGCAGGATGCCGACCGACTTTGGCCACTCCTGGACTAGGTCATCAAATCACTACGTTGCCTGTAGGAATTTTTAATGTCCAGCAGGTGTCAGTATTCAGTGACACAGTTTTGATATGGGTGAAACGATACATGACGCCTCATCTACCCATCACTAGTATAAACTAAACTGAATTGGTTAAATGACAGATGCGCTGACTATTAGAATAATGTAGTTTTAACCTCTTTGTAGCAGAATGTTACATTAATGCTCTCATCCAGTTTGTTAAACTCAGAGTTAATATGAAGATTAGAATCCTGTTCTGGTCTCTGCAGGTTGCTCACAGCCGACTGATGGTGTTTCTCATGTTCTGACCTGTGCAGGTGGCTCTGCTGGACATTAATGAGGCTGCAGCAGAGCGCCCCCTGCAGGCCCTGGAGCAGCAGTTCGGAGCAGAGAAGACCATCTTCCTGAAGTGTGACGTTGAATCCGAGGAGCAGATCAGAGGTAGCGTGTTAAAACACAGAGCTGAGCTGAAAGCCAGAAGTTTTTCCACAACGTCTGTCAGAAACCAGAAAGACGACAAACACGATCAGGTTTCTGTTACATAACTGCTGCTCTGGAAACATGGAAACATCTGAAAATATCAGAAAATATCTGGAAATATCAGAAAATATCTGGAAATATCAGGAAAAATCTGGAAATATCAGAAAATATCAAGAAAAAATCTGGAAATATCAGAAAATATCTGGAAATATCAGAAAATATCTGGAAATATCAGAAAATATCTGGAAATATCAGAAAATATACCATAGCAACAGCTAATCTTCCTGGGGTCCACATCATAAACACAGTTATACACACGATGAGAAACATAGAATATTAGATCATAAATGTCCAGCTATAACACGGTATAATGATTAGCAGAGTGCTTTAAAAGCTCCAGCAGATTAAAAACAGACGAAGGAAATTATTTGTTTTCTGTCCAGTTTTCCTGCTGCATGCTGGGAAAGTAAAACTTTTTATTAAATGCTTGTATTAAAATTGAGTGAAGGTTGGTTAAATAAAAGTTGATTGGTATCTCACATATTAAAACATTTAAATATAAAACCATAAGAGGGATTTAACTTCTACTTTATTTTAACAAAGCTAATGCTTTATGCTGCTGGTAGTCCAGGATGTTCTGGTTCTCAATGTTTTCAGAAACAAGTTAATGTTGAACTGGTTGCTTTATTTGTCCAGTTTCTATAGCTATTCTTGAATTTTGTGACATGTAAACTCATCGGCGCCTGTGAGCGCCCTCTACAGGTCATATTAGAAACTGAACTTTTTTTATGTTTATTTTTTGAAACATGAAATAAAAATGTAGACAGTTTGAATTTCTAGAAACTAAAGAGATATTTTCTTTGGTTGCCAGTGGAAATGTAATTACATAAACCTGTGAGGACGGACCAATCAAAGTCTGTCTGTGTGAAACACAACTTTAAAAAAATAAACATTATTATTATGAGAAAACTGAGATTGTTTAACAGGTAAATAAAACATTTTATTGTAAATAAAACAATAAAAGAGACTAAATATTTACCACATATAGAAAGACAGGCTTCTAGCCATGTTTCCTTTATGAATCATGAATTAATATGATTTACATTTAATTTCCCTTTGCGATCAATGAAATGTTTCTGAATTTTTATTTTTATTTTTTACCTAAATATGGTTCTTAAATCAGATAAGGCTTCTGATTAACTCACTGCTGTGGTTTTTTGCTGAATACTGAAGGAATAAAACTTTGATTAACTAAATAAACTAAACCATAAACTGCTGTTTTTCTCTGCAGCTGCGTTTAAGAAAACCGTAGAAACCTTCGGGGGAATCGACATTTTATGCAACAACGCCGGCATCCTGAACGAAACCAGCTGGGAGAAAACCATTTCCATCAACCTGGTGAGTGGAAATGAAAAATACTTCTCTGATAACGAAACTGAACATTTCATCATCAGGTCCAGTGTTTAAGTGAGATGTGTGTGTGTGTGTGTTTCAGATGGGTGTGATCAGAGGGACCTATGTGGCTCTGGAGCAGATGAACCGGCTGAGCGGCGGCCGCGGCGGCGTCATCGTCAACACGGCCTCCATGGCAGGTAAACATTCAGCTGGAAATGAAAAATCAAACATGTGACTGGCTGTGATTTGGTCTTTAAATGGGTTTCGTCAGAAATAAAGTGGATTATCTTTGTGTTTTGAGGAATCGGTCCGTTTCTGAGCTGCCCCTCTTACACAGCAAGCAAGTTTGGAGTGGTGGGATTCACCCGAGCCATGGCCGTAAGGAAACACTCTGATATTAATTATATACCACAGATTAATCATCAGCTACTGGAATAATCTGCAGCTATAATTTAGTAATCGATTGTTATTTAGAGCATTGACTAAAAAAACATTTTCTAAAAGAACAGCCAGAGCAGTAAATAATCCAAAATTGTACAATAATATATACATTTTGTGTTTAATCTTCACTTAATGTCTTTTTTCTGTCCAATTATTAATCAGTTAATCCATAAAAAGATCTGAACTTTTCTCATGTTGATGTTAGAAATTAGTTTTTATCTGTAGATTCATCTTTACTAGAAATGATTGAACTAAAGGTCACGTTTAAGAAATGTTAGTTTTTATTTAAAAAATAAATTTCATTATTTGTTAATTTGTATCTATTAATGTACGTCTAATATTATAGAATCTGCTGAATGTGCCAATTTTTCTATCTGATTAATTGTCAGAATAATCAATAGAGTGATTACTAAAATAATCATCCCTACACAAAGGAACATTAAATATGTTAAAAGCTTTTCATTATTTCTCTTTAATCCTCCAAACTTTTCATAAAAATTAGGAAAAACAAAGATTTGTTTTAAAGTACATAGCATTGAGCGGTAAAACCAGCTGACAAACCGTGCTGGAGTTCTGCTTGGGTTGCTACGTACTGTTCTGGATGGTTCTGGTTGGGATCTGTGTGGTTCTGGATGGTTCTGGTTGGGATCTGTGTGGTTCTGGTTGGGATCTCTGTGTGGCTCTGGATGGTTCTGGTTGGAAACTGTGTGGTTCTGGATGTGATCTGTGTGGTTCTGGATGGTTCTGGTTGGGATCTGTGTGGTTCTGAATGGGATCTGTGTGGTTCTGGTTGGGATCTGTGTGGTTCTGGATGGTTCTGGTTGGGATCTGTGTGGTTCTGGATGGTTCTGGATGTGATCTGTGTGGTTCTGGTTGGGTCTAGTTGGA